TAGTGATGAGCGGTATTTTCGTAACTGTTACTTTGTAACTGTTATCGAAAGGTAACGTTGTAACTAGTTACCAATTTTCTTTAATAACAGTTATTTTATAACTGTTGTATTTCATTCGTCGTTTCTAACAAGTCGCCCTATTGCTTGACATGATTGGTCAATTTACGCTAGGTACTGAGTATATTCTGAAGCACACTGCTCATTGGCTTTTATTTTACACCGATATTTTAACATACTTATGGTGCGTTCGGGGAGACGCTATTAACGCTATTAACGCTATTTCTTGTCATTCTTTTCTTGTTTTACATCTAATAAACGACGAAGATAAAATGACAGAAACAGCGTTAATAGCGTCTGCCCGAACGCATCAATTGAAGAAAGGAATAGTTGTGATTGGTCAATATAGGACTTGGTAAGACCATTAGAGACCAATGAACATTCAGCATAAAGTCTTATACCCTTTTATGCATTTCATGTGCGATGGGCCTAAGATCCAGAACAATTTTCGCATGTTTTGCTTTTTATTCTCTTTCTCTTTCTCTCACTCGTGAGAGAGGTTATACACACGCGTTCGACGTGTTTCCTTCGGCAAGATGCCGAAAGAAAAAAGAATAAGAACTAGTGATATATGGACCTTGTTCACTGCTCTTAACAGTGAATTTGCAATGTGTAATATGTGCAAACATAAACTTTCATACAAAAGCACAACAAATAATTTAAGAAAACACATCTTAGCGAGACATCCAACAGTTGCTTTACCTACAAATAAAGTACCTGCAATTAATTCAGCATTCAGCAATCAAAATGAGGTAAAACTATTTCTCATTAAAAAATATATATATTATTAAAATATCTTTTCTTCAAACTCTATTTATATTTTCCATATTGTTATCTTTCTATTATTAATATTAATATATAATAGCAGAGAATTATTAGCTGAAAATAAGTTTATGTTTTTAGCATATATCTTTATCATGTTTGGCTGAAGAGATGATTGATGAACCTGAATCAATTTCAAGCAGTTCCACACATAATAATTCTACAATATCTTTCACATTAAGAAAGAATTCGATAGACAGTATGTCAACCACTTCAGAAGATACTAACAAGAGTGAAATAGGTAGAAATAATGCATTAATATTAGAAAATAAGTTTATTTCTCAGCGTGAGAACATCTTATCATATATACCAAAAAAACTTTCTGGTAAAGAGAAAAAAATAATTGATAATAAGTTATTACACTTATTTATTAAAGATTTCCATCCATTCCGTATTGTAGAAGAAAAATCATTTATAGAATTTATTAGAGCACTAAATCCAAACTATCAAATCCCTTCAAGGCATTTTATTTCTAAAACGGCAATACCAAGTCTTTATGAAGAATGTCTAATCTACACTAAAGACCTGATCAATTCTGGCTTAAGTTTTTGTTTAACTACTGATTGTTGGACGTCAAGAAATACTGAAAGTTACATTGCTGTAACAGTTCATTTTATTAATGATAATTTTGAATTAATATCTGTGTTATTAGAATGTTCAACAATGTCTACAAATCATACAAGTAAAAATTTGGCACATGAAATAAGAAGAATTGTACATGAATGGGGTATTGAAAAAAAAATTCTGTTAGCAGTATCAGATAGTGCTAATAATATAAAAAGTGCTATTTCTAAAGAACTAGGATGGAAGCACTTTAGTTGTTTTGCTCATACTTTAAATTTAATTGTTAATGATGCTCTACACACAGATGGAATTACTGAAATTTTAGAGAAAATCAAAATTATTGTTGGCCATTTTAAAAGGAGTTATATCTCAAATGAGAAACTGATGTTATTTCAAAAAAATAATGGTGATCAACCTTTAAAACTTATTCAAGATGTACCTACTAGATGGAACTCTACTTATTTTATGTTAGAAAGATTTTCCAAACTCGAAACTGCTATTCGTAGTACTTTAGCTGTATTAGATAAAGACCTTCCAATACTTACAGTGGAAGAATGGAAAATAATTAATGAATTGTGTCAGGTATTGAAGCCATTTGAAGCAGTAACAAAAACAATTAGTGGACAAAAATATTGTTCTGCTTCCCTAATCATTCCATTAACGAATGGTTTACAAAATATATGTACAACTTTACCAAAAAAGAATTTTTCACCTATTCTATTGAATGTAATTTCTAAACTTCAAAATGGCTTTCATGTGAGACTTGGAAATATAGAGAGTAGTACTACGTTATCAATATGTACATTTTTGGATCCTAGATTCAAAATGTTAGCTTTTTCTAACACAAGCGCTGCTGAACATGCAAAAAAAATAGTGGTTTCATCATTAATGAACAGTATGGATATTGAACACACAAGATATACTAATATAAATGCAAATAATAGGTCATTAAATCAAAATAAATCAGAAGACGAATTATCTGTATGGTACAAGTTTGATAACATTGCTCTTTCTAAACCGACAAAAACGCCTATGTCCAGAGCTTTAATTGAAATTCAACGATATGTTGATGATGTAGAAATACTTCCACGGCAAGAAAATCCAAATAGTTGGTGGAAAGAAAATGCACAATATTTTCCATATCTTTCAAATTTAGCAAAAAGATATTTGTGTGCTTTAGGAACATCTGTTCCATGTGAAAGACTTTTTTCAAAGGCAGGTCTTTTTTTGACAGATCGTAGAAATCGATTAAGTATAAACAAAATGAAAACATTATTATTTTTAAATACGAATATCAAAACATAGTCTTGCTATTATTAATTTATATCTATGTGTAGTAAGTTAATTTCAGATATAATTTTAAATACAAAGTTTATGTAAAGTATATGTTTATGTTATATGTATAAGTACAAAGTTTATTTGATAAGTTGTTCCTTTTTGTACTTAAAAATCTATGATATAATTTTATTTTTATTAAATGATGTAATATAACAGATTAATCTAGCTACTATAAAATTACTGTGATGTAAGAATGCAATTATTGAACTATGTGATTATTAGCTGTGATTTAATCTACGTTATAAATCTACATATTATTAATAAATAATATACTAAGTATATATATAATATCCATATAATAAATATATATATAATATCCATATGATAAATATTTGTTGCAATAATTCTTACAATGCTATCTCTACCTAGAATATTGTTTCAGATTTATCTCTTAGAAATATCCAGCAAATTTGCATAACCATTTACATAAAGCATATATAATATAAATCGTATAAAATAACTGTTATAAAATAACTGTTTAAATATTCGGTTATTTGTGGATAACGATAATCGTCATAACCGTTACAGAAAAATAACTATTTAGCTCATCTCTA